GTCCATTCCTTCCGCATGGCGCAGAGCCTTCTACATTGTCTTACTGAGCCTGGCGTGCTTGCTGATAGGCTCTTGCTTTTTGTTCTGCTGCTGTGGGATGTGTATGCGATGTGCCTCTGGAGCCCTGACCCGAGGGTTTTGTGGAAGACAGGAGGCATGAGATGGAGGGGGACATTAAGGGGCCAGTAAAGCACTGAAGGGGTGGACAGTTGGGGTGAACACTAGTCAGAGCCTAGGAAGGCTTGTTCAGCGCAGTGAGATGAGAGGGACTCCCAAGAAGGTGACAGTGAAGGATCTAGAAGCAGGCCACTTCCCTTGTTTCCAATTTTTAGGTGGATATGAAAGCAGAGTCGCCTTGGATGTAAAGTATAAGAATGTACTTAAAATATCTGAAGCAACCCACCTGTGCAGTGGGCACAAGACCTCTCCCTATGTTCTCCAGCTGGTAGGTGTGGTGTGGCCCTCCATTGTACCCCAGCCTGCTCCCCGACAAAGAGCAAGTAAGAAAATGTCCAAACCCTGTCTCTTGAGTCCTACAAGTTCTTTCTTTGGGATTGGTAAACTGGGGCTTTTGCTGCCCTGGGGTTGAACGATAGTAGAGCTGGACTGAGCACATACTTACTTCTCATTAAAAGGAAAGGTAGCATTGCTGCTGCTGGTGTCGGGTTGGGGGGAATCGCAGGCCGCAGCCCTGACACACTGGGGTCTGGCACAGACATCTTTTCTAGAGGTCGAATGGGGGAACTGGAATTCAAGCATAGGGCTTAAGGCACAGGGAGATGAGTCATAGGGGTTGGGTTCTGCTGGCCTGGCTACCACCTCCCCTCCAGGGCCTCATCCCGGAGCCTCCCGATCTCTCTCCCTCCCTCCCTCTCTCAGTCCTGTGGGAAGCCTAGCTTGGTGAAGATGGATGAAGGCCTTAACTGAAGTCAGCTCTTCTGGGTTGTCAGTGGCCCCACCCTTGGATCTAAGGTCACTGCCCACAGGACTGGCCTTTTCTTGGATGTCCCCACCCACTACCTGCCCTAGGGGAATCCCCACTTGCTCATTGTTGCTCACCCCAGATTCCATTCTCCAAACTCATGAGCTTGGACCAGAGCCTTTGGCAGCCTACCCTCTGAGCATCAGGCAGGGGCCCAGCACACTGACCCGCTGTTTTTCACTTGCTCTTCTCGTGGGAAGAAAGGGAGGTGCAAACTCTTCTCTTTCCTTGAACTGTAGGGTGTGGCAGATCTCATCCTTCAAGAACATTTACCTGAGTACACCTCAGTGGCGAGGGGCAGCGCCAGGGTTTTCCTACAGTACAGCGAGGGTGTGCTCTAAGTGGAATGTGCAGATAGGGGTCACGGTAATTCTTCACTTACTGAGATGGTCACAGGCCTTTTGGAGCCAGTTTGCAAAACAGGATGTTTATGGCTTCTGCTTTGGTCTTATTCATGACCTTCTCCGTCAGCAGTGAGCCCTGAGCGGGGTGGTTTGCAAGATCCAAAGGCTAAGGCCGGAGGAGCCTCCCCTCTACCCAGAACCAGTGATTGTGCAGAGGGCAGCTTCATGGGGATTTTTGGTTCCTAAGAGGGCACATCCTCAAGGGAAGCTAGATATCCCAAATGGGATAAAAAAAAAAAAAATATCAAGGGGAACAGGTTCTTAGTTCATGTGGATCTTTATAAAATTGTACATTTTGATATTTCCCCCATTATTGAAATACTTTATGGCCAATAAAAATTAAAAATGTCAAAAAATAAACAGAAGAGGAAAAAATAACATGTAGAACTCCCATTCAATGATCTCTGGGCAAATTTCCTCTTCTCATTTTTGTTTATAAGAGTTACGAGTTTTAAAAATTATAGTTGGGGGGCTGGGTTTATGGCTCATGGGGGCACTGGGGTTGTGGCTCAGTGGTAGAGGACTCGCCTAGCACATGCGAGGCCCTTGGTTTAATCCTCAGCACCACATAAAAATAAATAAATAAATATTGTGTCCAATTACAACTAAAAAATAATTTAAAAAGAATTATGATTGGGATCACATTGTGTATGTATCTTGCTTTATTCATGAAAAAAATATCTGTGGTACATGTTTTTGTTTTGTTTTTTAGCAGGGGCAGGTACTGGGGATTGAACTCAGGGCACTTGGTCACTCAGCCACATCCCCAGCCCTATTTTGTATTTTATTTATTTTGTGTTTAGCACCTCACTTTTGCCGAGGCTGGCTTTGAACTTGGGATCCTCCTGCCTCAGCCTCCCAAGAGGCTGGAATTATAGGCGTGCACCACCACACTCAGCTGGTTCATGTTTTTAAAAGCCATCTTTTGCTGGCTGCCTAGTCTTTCTTTTCATTATTCCTTTTGGTACTGGGACTGAACCCCAGGGTATTCTACCACTGAGTTATGTCCCCAGCCCTTTTTATTTTTTTTATTTTGAGACAGGGTCTTGCTAAATTGCTTAGGGCCTTGCTAGTTTGCCCAGGCATTTGGGGTCCTCAAGCCTCAGCCTCCTGAGTGGCTGGGATTAGAGGCATGTGTCACCACCCCTGGCTGCTGCCTGTCTTTGATTGGATGTGCCCTATCTCTTTTTGACCAGTTTCCTATTGGGATGCAGAAGGCCTATGCTGTTTCCCAGCTTACTCACTGTTTTAGTCTTTGGGATTTATTTCTTTGGCAGACTCCTACTATAGCAGCATCTGCCGTGGGGCACTACTTTCTTAACTCTTTTTCCCAAACCTAGACATCTGCACTTGAGCCTGGGTCTTTAAAGGGCTTCACCCCAATCACAAGTGTTTCGAGCCATCCATGGGCTGTGTGTGAGCTATGCGCATTTGAGCATATGAGGGGACTGGATTGACGTCACTGCCTGATTGGGCTGTGTGATGCATGTGTGCCGTCTCTCTTGCTCTGCCTGTGATCCCACACAGCACCTGAGATAGGTGTGACTTTCCAAGATGTCAGCCAAACTGCTGACCACAAGACATCACCAAGTAAGACTCCACCCTCCAAAATCCAATTCCTTGCCTTATTTGGTTGGGATATTCTGTGAATAGCTTCACCCCAATAAATAGGGGGTTTTCAGGTGTGCTTGCTCTCTTGCCTCCCTTGCTCTCCTTGCCTTCCAGTGTGGGAGCTTGATTTGTGAGGCTGCAGGGCTGTCCTAAACCCAGAAAAAGGTATTTTCTGTGTTTGTGTGGTTTTTCTGTTGCCAGCCCAATCCACCTGGAGTGATCCTGATTCCCTCGCATATTGTGACACCCAGGCTCTTGGCCTCTTACCCACCACCCACCTCTGTAGAGAAGGCACTGATTCTGTGATTTCCTAGATTTACAGGAGGGGAGCCCTAGCCTGCCTCTGCTCAAAATGCTAATAGTTTTGGTTAACATTTCACCTGATTGTCAGACATCAAGCAAGATAGGCAATCAGGTGAGGGACATGGCGATAGACATGGTAGGGTAGCCTAAGTGGAGTCAGAAGATGTAGGTCTGGATCCTGGCTCTTCTAATTGTCAGCTGTCAAAACTGAGCAATCTGTTGACCTTCCGAGCCTGGGATTCTTCATGACAGAATCATTCCTTCTCTTTAGGGTTTTCACGGGAATTGAATGAGATAATGCATGTGAACTTGTCCAGTTGTTTCTGACATCATCGAAGCAGTCAATAAAGGACTGAGATCATTCCCCTCCCCACCTACTCGCCCGCAGGGACACAGCTTTCAGTCCAACTGTTCCATGATATTTAGTACCTCTTAGTAAGTACCAGTGAGCTCTCCCTTTCAACAATTTTATCCTCTTGGAGAGAAGGTTCCCCAAGGCCATGCTGGCACAGCCAATGGGTCAGTCCAGAAGCCATGAGACTTTTTTGGTCCACTGCTGTGGCTCAATAATGTGCAAATAAAGGGCTTCTTACCCTCTTCTCATTCAATACTACTTAGCTTACCCTAGGAAAAAACAAGAAAATCAAGCAAAAACACTTCCCCCTTCTTATACCAAATTCCTTGTTTGCTTATATTTAATCCACCTTTGTTCTGACATGCAATGGGATTATGCACATTCAAGGTCAGCTCTGGGAACATTTTAAATACCCACTCTAGAGTTCTGGTCTCTGGCTTCCCTCTTTTTCAACTCTACTTCATCATGGTTCTGGGCCAAATTTTATCTGGGTAAGCTAAAGGTCAGAAAATAGACATTTGTTTTTGTTTTTGGTTGTGGGGACTAAAACCCAAGGCCTCACACATGCTAGGCAAGTGCTCTACCACTGAGCTATGCCCCCAGCCCTAAGCTGAAGATTAGGGAGAGGAAAGACTAAATAAAAATTATGGCTCAAATGCATCAGTTAATCCAGTGGTTCTCAAATTTTAGTATTACTTGTAGAGTTTTTCCTTCTTTTTCTTTTCTTTCTCTCTTTCTTTGCAGTGCTATGGATCAAACCCAAGGCTTATGCATATTAAGCATATTAGGCTTCACCCTCAGCCCCACTTGGAGACTTTTAAAAGAATCTTGATGGCCAAGCTACACCCCAGACAAATTAAATTGGAATTTCTGGACACAGGAACTGGCATAATAGAAAATTTGAGGACCTGTGACTTCAAGCTGTGCTAATGTGCCTGAATCAGTGTTGTCTGCCTTGCAGTCAGTTCCAGAGAGAAAGGACCACATGCATCTCCACAGCATTCCATGTGGGCCAGGCACACAGCCAAGCTTCTGATGATGATGGCAGACCTCAGTCTGTTCCTGATTAATGCCAAGACTTGGAATATGGTGGCTATTCCAAGATCACAGATATGTCCTGAAGTGGTAAACATTTTATTACAGTAAAAAAAAAAAAAAAAAAAAAGTCATCTCTCAACCGATGAACCGCAGGGAACCACATCAGAAGCTGCTGCAGAATAATCGCACTGAATAACAAATACAGATTTTCAGCATCATGAAATGGCTAGATTCTTTCCATTCTTCCTCCATTAAATCAACGGCTAGGTCAGTTCTGATAACAGCCCATCAATGTTTACTTCAGGATTGGACCCACACACTGGGCCATTCCTGGCCACCTCCTCACTGCCAGATAGCAGCGGCCTAGACACAGGAGGTGACACTGAGCAGCCACAGCTACACTTGCTCTTCCTCTGAGTCTGTCCACCATGGTGGCATCGCCATCTGGGATCCACATGAGCCCTTAGGGCCTTTGCCCTGGGGGGCTGTGGTGGGCTCTAATGTCGACAGCCAGCAGCCTGAGTGGACCTGCTTCCCTGGGCGGTAATTTCCACACACTGAGGGCTGGTTCTGATGCACTGCTCCTTCATCATCCTAGGGAGTGGCGCTCTGCCTGAGCGCTGGTGCGTCAGTATCAGGACAGGCCCAGCAGCCACGTCCAGCTGGGGTGGGGGAGGAAGAGGCCTGTGTGGCAGAGCTGAGGCGTGGTGGAGACACGTGCAGAGACACCAGCACTGCTGGTCTTCCGTTCAGAGCCACTCTAAAAGGACCCAGGGTCCAACCCCACACGCCCGATATTTGTGGATAACCTGAATGCTTCTTGGCCTAGTCTGAAGGCCAGGAGACCATCCACCACTCTCCAGAGTTCCTGCTTCAGAGTGTCTGGCACATGGCTCCTGGGACTGTGGGGTTCCTCAGGTCCACCTTTGGCTCTCAAGAAGCATCTACTCGATGCCATCTCAGGATCCAGAAGCCCCTGGGCTGTTCCAGAGTCACGGTCCTCACTTGCTTCTCTTCTCCTTCCTGCTCCCAGCCAGTGGTATCTCTGGTGGCTTCACATGGGGTCGCATGGCTTCCTCAACCCTGACATGGGGGTGCAGGAGGGCAAGAGACAGCTACATGGTCCCTCTTCCTCCCTGTGATTTCTCCTTTGCCTGCACTCACCCTGCCCCCTGCACAGGCACCCTATTGACCCCAGCCTGTCATAGTATGAAGGTCAGTATTCCAACCCAGGCCTGGAAGGAGGCTCCTCTGGGGCCCCAGGTGTCACTCTTGCACCAGGAAGTTGATGAGGGCAGTCCTGGGGGAGAGGAAGGCCTTCTTGATGTTTCTCCCCTGCAAGAGCCTGGCTCCCAGTTCACTCTGGAGAACAAGTTCGTGGACTTTATCCTGGTCCTGGGCAACTTGCTGGGGCACAGGGATCTTGCCATAGGCTTTGTTGTTGATCTGAGAAGAAAAATAGCCAGAGACGAACCATGAGGACAGCCTGCTTTGGGGATGTCCCAATCTGCACTGCCTGCTAGGGGATTGCCACCACAGGAAGGAGAAAGGGAAGCTGGCACCTGCCTTGGGGTGGAAGGAGGAGGGCACCTGGGAGAGACAGACAGACAGACAGACAGACACTGAGACCCCAGTGCTGCCTGTAGGTGACTACCACCTTGAGTTTCCTGAGCACTGCCCCAAACACAGTTGTTGTGGGATGTTAAAAACTTAGACAGGCTGAGTGCAGTGCTGCAAGTCTATAATCCCAGTGACTCAGGAGGCTGAGGCGGGAGGATCACAGGTTCAAAGCAACTTAGTGAGACCCGGACTATAAATAAAAAATAAAAGAGGCTGTGAAAGTGGCCCAGTGGTAAGCACCCCTGAGTTCAATCCCCTTGTACCAAAACAAAACCAAAACCAACCAACCAACCAAACAAACAAAACCCCCCAAAACATATGCTTGGCTCATATCCAGAGGGAAGTATTACCAGGTCACTGCAGATCAGGTTTAAGTCCAAATCTGGGCTGGAATGGGCCATCCCCTTAGCTCTGCCTGAGTACCAGGCACGTGCCATACGATTTACTTGTATGAGCCTGTGGGGAGATGCACGACTATCCCACCCCATTTTTCAGGCGAGGAAGCAGAGGTAGGTGAGGAGAAGTCATTTGTCCGAGGTCCCACCGCAAGTACTGGAAAGTGGATGATCTGCTGAACCCTCTCTCTCCTGCCCAGCCCCCTCCCACCCAGCCCCCAGGCCTCTCTGGATGGAGGCTGGCCTCTGAGGCAGGGACTCTTCCAGCCTTCAGCCATCCTTCCTGTGCCCTTTGCCTTAGCTGCTCCATGGCTCACAGTCCAGGGTCCCTGGGGACTTCTCCCGGCCCCCTGCCCCCACAGCTCCTGATGTTCTGACATCTCTGTCTCCACTGGGGACATGCTGTTCCTCTTTCAAAGCCAAGACCCAGCTTCTTCTCCTCGTGACACCTCTTCTAATCTCCCAACAGCCAGAAACAGCAATGCGGAGCTGGCAGCAGTCACCACTTACTGAGCGAATTCTGGACTAGCTGCAGGACCTTCAGCGAGTTATTAAGCCCTGTTCTGCCACTGTTTCCTCACCTGTAAAAGGGGATGAGTCCAGGCCCGCCCCCAGGGCCACTGTATGGAGTAAATGAGTTTCTATCTGGAAAGTCCTAGGCCATACCTGGCCCTTCGTTTGCACTGGTTTCAAGTTAGTGGGTCTCATCGTTGGCATGTACAAAAGCAGGGGAAGTACTTTGGTCATTATCCTGCCTACTTCTCTCAACAACTGGGTAAGGCTGGCACGGGCTTGTCTCTATTTTATAACGAAGGAAACTGAGGCTTGGTGAGTGTCTGAGACCCTCACGCAGCACAGTCCAAATCCCAAGCTCTTACATCTTAACCTTGCTGCTGCATGAACTCTGTGTGTGTGACAACCCAGGTGCCCTAGACCTCTGTCCCTTGGAGCTATGCTCAAAGAGAAGGCCCTTTTCTCTGCTCCCTGGGTACTTGGCAGAGTCCAGCATGTCTTGGGTACAGAGAACACACGGGGTTTAGCTAGACTACATTGCACTGAACCGTGCTTGCAGCTTCTCTTTCAAGATGAGGCACCAACCCTGAAATCTCTCCACAGAGTCAGAAGAGACCTCCCCAGACGTCCTGTGTCGGAGTGCTGCCCCACCCTACCTTCTCAAACTGGTGCATGCAGGGAGCCTTCAGGCATTTTTAATTTGGGGTTTACAGTCCAATGATCTTCTAAAATTATTTTATTAATGATCACAACTCAATTTGGTGATATTTTAAACAGAAATTTTGTGATAATTTAAAGTAGAAATACATTTCCACCAATGGAAATTGTAAGCTGTTGCTTCTCAGCTGTGTGAGGCCAAGTTCTCAAGGGTACGTGAGTTACTAATTTCTCATAAACATTATTCAAGTTAAAGAAATGCCCTCTCTGAGCCTGAGCCGGGTGTGGTGGCGCCTGTAATTCCAGCAGCTTGGGAGGCTGAGGCAGGATTGGAAGTTCAAGGTCAGCCTTAGTAATTTAGCAAGAGCTTCAGCAACTTAGCAAGACCCTGTCTCAAAATAAAAAAATAAATAAATAAAAGGACTAGGCAGGTAGCTCAGTGGGAAAGTGCTCCTGGAGTCAATTCCAGGAGGAGGAGAAGGAGGAGGAGGAGGAGGAGGAGGAGGAGGAGGAGGAGGAGAAGGAGGAGGAGGAGTCCTCTCTGTACCACAGGATGTTTTAGAAGAAGCCTCTAAGGCAGCCCCACATTTTTTGCCTTGTGGTGGGACAGAAGGGAGGTGGGTGAGGCAGGGACCTAAGTTCCAGAGCAGGTGGTGGGGAACTGAGCTGCTGTCAAGAACCCAACTCTAGGGCCAAACACTGCCTTTCCAAATGATGACCTTTTTACTGGGTCCAGGTTTGCACAGGTGCAGAAGGGCTGGGGCCTGGCTGGCAGAGCCTCTATGGGCATGCTCTCCCTCCACCCCTGGGCGGGTTTGACTGTGGCACCTTGTACAACATGCTTTCATCTTATTATTTTTCTCTTTCCTTGTGTGTGTTAGTGTGTGTGTGTGTGTGTGTGTGTGTGTGTGTGTGAGAGAGAGAGAGACAGAGAGAGATGCTGGGGATTGAACCCAGGGCCTTGCACATGCTAGGCAAGCACTCTACCACAAAGCTACACCCCCAACTCTTTGAAAAAATAACATTTAAATTTAAAATTGTAAAATATAAATTATATTTGAGGCAGGATCTCACTAAGTTGCTGGCCTTGAACTTGTGATTCTCTTGCATTAGACTCATGAGTTGCTGGGATTATAGGTGTGTGCCACTGTGCTTGGCTTCTTTCTCTTTTATTCTTTTCTATCTTAGTGGGTTTTAAGCTCCATGAGGGCAGGAACTCTGTGTGTGTGAAAACTCACGTGCCCTAGACCTCTGTCCTTTGGCACTATGCCTATCTTATTTGATTCTGTATCCCCTCAACCTAGCACTGTGCCTGGCACCCAGTAGGTACATGGTAATTATTGAAGAGTAAATGAATATACCTGGCCACTTCTCTGAGCTTGTTTCTTCAACTGCAAAGAGAATGGTAATGCTTGTAGGGTGACATGAGTCACATTACATTTTGGTTGTAAATTACCTGGCCCACGAGGGACTCAGAGGCAGTGATGTAAAAAGTCCACCCTTGGCCTCTTTCCCTCTTCAACCACATCAGCATACAGAAGAGACATTCCCTATAAATGTGTCTCATATTAAATAATCAAATATACAAACATTATAAAGAGACTAAGGGAGTCATTTCTGACATAAAGGGTTTAACCAATAAACTACTCATGTATGTATGCTGTTCCAATTTACCAATAAAAAATAAATAAAAAAGGATGAAAGAAAAAGAAAATGGACTTTATGAAGTTTTTCTAAAGTGGATTTTTCGGTGCGAAGTCTTCCTGCATTGCCAGTGACCTCACCGTCACCCTCTCTGTGCCTTGGACCACCCCAACAAAAACCCACACTCAAGCTCAGCTAAATGAGCATAGTCCTCAGTTGGAAAAGACAAACGGAACCTGTAAAGCAGGATAGGTTGATTTCTGCCCTTCTAGTCCCTTGATGGCTACCAGAGTACAATACTCACACGGTTCTGTTACGTGGTGATGCAGAAAACCAAGGGCACCAGCAAAGGCAAGAAGCCCTGTGCGCTGTGCCTGGTCAGGGGGCTGGAGAGACACTTACCAGAACCGCCATCTGTACCACGTCAGGCTTCTGATGGAATTGTGGGTCCACCGTGGGCCAGGCCTGAAGCAGCACGGCAGTGTCCCAGGCATAGTGGTCACAGAGCTTCTTGGGCACCAGTGCCAGACCTGCAATGCAAGACACAGAAGGATCGGCCACTCTGCACACAGGGGAGGTTGATGAGAGCAGGATGGAAGGCTGTGGCCTGGACACGGCTTGGAGCTGTTGGAGGAGGGTATGGAAGGCCACGCCATGGCTCTGCAACCTGCCACGTCTCCCACTTACCTTGGCCTGGTTCATAATCTTGGGTTTATAGGCAACTCTTTGCAAACAGCACCCAGAGCTGTAATGAAGAAGGGACATGCTGCTCTAGGGAGAGTATCTGGGAAAAAGAGGCTGCTAATTTTCCTGGGTTATTTCTCTGCAGCTCTCATGGGGAAGGAATGCTTTGGAGCCAGCTTGAGTACTGAGTGGCCTTTACTTCCTGTAATGCCCATAAATACTTGCGGTGTGAGAGGCCTTCCACCTAGCCCCTCACACATAATCACTAGAGCCAGATGCAGGGAACAGTGGACAAATGACCTTCTCAGAGAAAGCCTAACCTCCTGGCTAAACTTCCTCTGGGCCTCTGTTATGGCTAGGACAGGAAGCGTCTGCTAAAAACTTGTGTGTGGAAGGCCTGGTTCCCAGTACAGTGATGTTCAAAGGTGGGTTTGGATCACCAGGGCTCTGACCTCATCAGTGGATTAACAATTTTGATGGCATTAATGGGAGGTGGGAGGAGGTGGGACCTTGTTAAAGGAGTAGGTCCCAGGCAAGTGCTCTACCACTAAGTCACATCCCCAGCCCTTTTATAATTTGGAAAAATGTTTTAAAATAAAGTTTTTAAGCTGGGCACAGTGGTGCACACCTGTAATCCCAGTGGCTTGGAAGGCTGGGACAGGAGGATTCTGAGTTCAAAGCCAGCCTCAGCAAAAGGGAGGCACTAAGCAACTCAGTGAGATCCTGTCTCTAAATAAGATACAAAATAGGGCTGGGATATGGCTCAGTGGTTGAGTGCCCCTGAGTTCAATCCCTGGTACCAAAAATAAACAAACAAACACACACACACACACACACACACACACAAAGTTTTTCCATACTGTGAGATGAAGTAAAGATTTTCTTCTGGTCTCTCTAAAAGGTTTCATTTTCTTCCCAGGTTACCATTTGAATTTATTAGTAATTAATTTTGTTTATAATGGCAACAAATCATTAAAAAAAAACCAGTCAACCCAATTGGCTGAACAAATTTTCCCTTCCCTATTGTTTGTATCCTTATATTGGTGCAAATATATTATACCAGGGGGATTGTTTCAGAGCTATTCAATGTGCATGTGTGCAGTGAGGTAAAGAACTTGAGCCAGAATGCAAATTAACATACTGCTTCCTTCATTGAGAAAGTACTATTATGTTAAAAAAAATAATATATATATATGTGTGTGTGTGTGTGTGTGTGTGTGTATGTTTATATCTCTTTGAAAAGACACAAAGAATACATATAAAATGTTTTATTTTGTATACATGTATACACACACCCCTCCTCATAGAGAGCCAGCCCACCTCAACTCTGTGCTTCGTGGTGGGTGGTTTACATCCTGGGCCAAGCTCCTCATCTTGTCACAGAATGGAGCTGACAGTTCCCAGGCCAGCCTTGGGTCCCTGGACTAGCAGCATAGTGCTGGTCCAAAATACCTGACATTTGCATGGCAAATACAAAAGCTTCTTTATGTGGCATAACCAAAGTGCCAGATCAGGAGGAAAGCTGGCCATTCTAGTCTAGTGACCTCCATCTTGATTTCTGTGCTACTATCAGAGACTTATTTGTTGCAGCTTTTAATGTCTCACCATCAGGCATTTCATTGTGAGCCTGTGTTGCTGGTTAATGGGTCAATGGCAGGGAAGCGAAGGCTCGGGCTGAGGAGCAAGTGGTTTAAGAGACACATGACATACTCCTGATGCCCAGCTGGCTCCTGTGGCCTGAAGCTTTTGCGCTTCTTAATGAACCTAGTCCATGTCTAACAGACGTGCCTTTTGGCAAAAACAGAAAGGAGATTCCTGCTTGTTCCTCCGAGGGGATTCTATTAAAACTCCTATCTAAATATGAGACAGAGGTCACAGGAGGCAGATAATCATTTCTTTATTTTAGTGAGCTGGCCCAGTGGGGCCTGTCCCGTGACCCAGCTGCAGTGGGAAGATTTCCAGAACCTCTATATGGAAGTTGTACAGGATGCCTGTGAGATAAAAGGACCTTGGACACAAATGTTCTGGGCTGAAGCTGTTATAAATTCCATTTGAAAAAAATGAGGAAGCCCAGTCTTCCTGGAGCAACCAGGATGCTTATTTATAGCTGCCTGGGCCCCTGCCAGCGTTTCCATATAGATGGGAGTGGGGCCATCCTGTGGAGCAGGGAACAGAAACTCAGGATCCTGGTTTATCACAGTGTTCTTGCCTCCCTGCTCTTTTTAGGGAAGTAAAAATACCTGACATTTGCATGGCAAACACAAGGGCTTCGTTACGTGGCAGATAACCAAGTGACAGATGAGGTAGAAGGTTGGCCTTTCAGAAGCACATGGGGAAAGCACACAGGCTGGGAAATGGAATGGCCCTGGCAATGCAAGGCCACCATGCAGGGCCCCTGTGGCCCACATCCCACCCTCTTCCTTCCCCTCCTTGGGGAGAGCTGAGCTTCCTGTGGAATAACAGAGACACTCAGCCTTTCCCTTTCTGAGAGCTGGTGAGGTCACCATGCTGCCTTGGCACCCCAATGTGAGCGCTGGTGGGTGTGTGTCATGTCATGGCTCCTGTGGGGGTGGCAGTCCTCTCCTGATAACCATCTTGGGGTCTGCCTCCACCCCCATCTCCCTGGCCCCTGTCCTCATATACACTGGAAGGGGGGATCTAAGGGCTCTGTGGTGTCTGGTCACCCTGGGGTCTCCCCCATTAGCCTTGACAATAATTCCCAAATAAGGCACAGGAAGTGAGGCTACTCTACTTTAGCCTTTTGCCAGAAAAATGGTTTCATTGACATGATTTTGAAATAACATCATCCACACAGCAAACACAAACACCCAAACAAAACAAACAAACAACCACTGCCCAAACCATCAGAGTATCAACAGATTTTATTTTCTCCCTTGAAATAATCTCTTAAGCCTTCTCTCTCTCTCTCTCTCTCTCTCTCTCTCACGTACACAGACGTCTACATGATTGGTACGTTGATAATTTTGTTGGAATTAATGAATATAACAAAACACTACAGCTATAAGATTTCACAGCCAATATCTTCTTTTTCTGAGATGCTGGGGATGGAACCCAGGGCCTCACACGTGCTAGGCAAGTGCTCTACTATGAGCTGCACCCCTCAGGCCTCACAGCCATTTTTATAAAAAGTTGCAAAGAATGTTATCTCAAATTATGTTATGAAGGAAAATGGATTTGTGCAGGTAAACTGATGCTTCAAGAGGAAGAGCTCCTTCCAGGGCCTCCCTCCCTGTCTTGACAGTAAAGTACTGCAGGACATCTTTGAGATCATGTATGTTACACACTGAGGCAACGTCAAGAAAGAACAGTCACTGTAGAGTTCCAAAAGGGCCAGAAAAACAGAAATGTTCTATCACCACATTTTCATTTTTATTTTTTTTAATATTTTTTTTTTAGTTGTAGTGGGACACAGTACCTTTATTTTGTTTCTTTTTATGTGGTGATGAGGAATGAACCCAGTGTCCCGCCACTTGCTAGGCGAGCGCTCCACTGCTGAGCCACAATCCCAGCCCAATCACCATATTTTTAAATAATTTTTTTTATGTTTTAGTTGTTGATGGACCATTATTTTATTTATATGCAATGCTGAGAATCAAACCCAGTGCCTCACACATGCTAGACAAGCACTCTACCACTGAGCTACAACTCCAGCCCCTCTATCACCACATTTTAAACATCATGGCCTCTGGCTTACAGTGGCTCAATCTTATAGTGGTATGAAAGCCTTGTACATCCATCAGAAACCACATTTTGAATTTTGATCTTCTCTGGGCTAGCAATGTGGCATGTAGTCTCAGGGAGCTGCAGCTCCCGGTCACATGATCATGAGATGAACAACCAGTGCTCTGCAGAGTCCCCTCTTCCCCCATCCTCAGGGCATGGGCTCTGAGACACCTCCTCCCCAGCAAGTTGAACTTGTTTCCTGCAGCTGGTTCTGGGCACGTTAGAAGCAGACAGTATAAAAGCTCAGGGACACAGGCAGTGGTGCTCTTTAGGCACCAGGATAGGCCTGTCCCTGTCTCTGTGCTCCTGTTGGAAATTCATATGGCCCTGCTGCAGGGCTGCAGGAGACGAGGTTGTCTTGGATGCAGTGGGATGAATGGCAACATCTGGCCAGATGTGTGATGTGTGTGTGTGTGCAAGCATGTGAATCAAAACCTGCAACTAGAAATAAATTCCTTTCTCCCTTTCTTCTTCTCTTATGACCCACTATGTCTCAGAACTAGAATCTCAACACTCAGGACTTGTGAGTTTACAGAGGCAATTAAAAACAGCAGCAACTTTATAAAAAATTATAAAAATAATAGTGAAATAATTATAGATTTACCAGAAGTTGCAAAGAAATGTTAAGGAGGCACCTTGTGCCCTCCATCCATCCTCCCCATCTGGCATAGTTACAGCACAATATCAAAACCAGGAAGCTGGTATAATTAATCCACAGAGTTTGTTCAGATTTTATTAGAGTTATAAGAATTAATTCTGTGTGCGTGTGCGCGTGCATGTGCGTGCATGCGTGCGTGCGTGTGTAGCTTAGTGAAACCATATGTGGCTTCACATGCTCACCACCAGTCAAGACCTAGGACTGTTCTAGCACTGCAAGGAAGTACCCTTGTGCTACCCTTCCGCAGCCACTGCCCCCTCCACTCACTGTTGCTTAGTGCCTCACTGTTGGCTGAGACTGGCTTTGAACTTGTGATCACCCAGTCTCAGCCTGACCCCTCACTACCACCTTATGTTTTCCATCTCTATAATTCTCTTTTTTGGCAGTGCTGAGGATGGAACCCAGTAAGGCAAGTGCTCTACCACTGAGCTATATCCCCAGCCC